CAGTGGTTTCTCCAAACAGCAGGGGGCGCTGGACATCCAGTTTCCTCTGACCTCGTGGGTAAGGTTACTTTTGGATGCATATTGCATAACAACATGCATACGATGGGAACACAGAAAGCCTGTCACACTGACTATTATTACACCTATAAAATATTAATTGTAATTTCAAATTCACAGGAAATCCAAATATAAAACGTGCACATTAATAATCTGCATTAAATGTATTATAACATGGGATTCACTAGAACCATACACCAGCAAAATAACACATGTACCAAGTAACATGAATCACTGATGACGCCAATATTACGGTGGGCTCACTGTGACCCTTGATTTTTAATATTTTTATGCAACATTTCCAGTTTTAAATAAGGATTTAAAGTAATATTTGCATTGCAGAGTCTGCGGGTTGTATTTTTTAAAATGTGTTAATACATTAACACCTTTCTTCAGGACAGAAGGGGATTTTTGCAATAAGTGGAACAGGATGAACAGAAATCTTGCCCCACACACAAACACACACACACACACCGCTGCCTTCACGTGCTGTGGGAAATAGTGAACCTCGGATAAACAATACAACAAAAGGGAAAGTTCGCTTTATGGTAGCCAAAAAAACAAGAGGAGAGGCAAAGGTTTAAAGTAATCAAGTTGAAAAATTATTTTAAAAACATCCACATTATAGCCTCTACAATGCCTTAAGTCCATAATTGCAAAAATAGTTCAGTAGCTGTAAAAGCTTTGTTAATGTTAATACTTATAGAATAAAAGAATGTATTTATTTAGCTGTAGACAGCTGCTGCTCTGTGATAGAAGACAGAATATATAGACAATTTATTATTTGATATTCATTGTAAATACATTTTATTAACGAGTGGTCTGGTGTTTAAGAAACACTTGTGTTTAATTTGCTATCTTTAAATCTGAATTACAGACAATATAGGCCACTAGCACAGCAGCCCAGGTCTTGAGCCCTGAATTCACTGTATCTCATTTGAATTGGATTGAACTAGTAAATATTTTTTACATTTTGTACACCACTAAAGTGCGTGCAGTGTTATTTAAAGGCACTATATTGGACTTGCATGGGGCAGAGAATATTGCCTCAAGATACAGTAACTAACACAAAAGTGCAACGCAGTGTTTCAGCACAGCACCGGTTGGTTTCTGCGTCTCTGGCTGTGTACGTCAGCACATTGTGGACGCGCACGGTGCACAGAGGAGCCCCAAGATGTCAGGTTTGCCCGGCTGCGCCTGCCTTTCTCACTCCCCTCACTCTGTTTTTGCTCCCTTACCTTGATGACGTTATCCGACACACCTGCTTCATATCCCCTGATTACCACCAGCTGCACCTGATTACTTCTCCCTATTTATTCCCTGCTCTACGTTCAGGCCCGTTTGTTTCCCGTTCTCTGTTACTGTATAGTATCTTCACGTTTTGTCGCCCTAGTTCTGTTCCAGTCTTTAGCTCCATTGTTTCATTCCTCCTCGCCTCTGTCGCTTCTCCGGACAACGGACCTCCTCTACCCGGCTCCTTCTCCACCACGCAGGTCGATGCACAGTCTCCTACTAACTGTATGTACAAACTCTGTTCTTCCTCAGTACTTTCCACCACGACCAGCCCAGGAGTGAGTCCCAGCGTCCGCAGCCCGGTCTTCTCCTCATCATTCAGCCACTGACTGTATTCACTTCTGCAGCTCGACACCCGGTCCCACTTCTACCTGATTATTCATTTCCTTGTTATATTTCCAAGTAATTAAACTTGGCACTGCTTGCACTGAAGTCAGCCACTGGGTCCATCATATTTTTGTGACTCGCTCACCCCTGTGTCCGAGCCGATCTAACACAAGAGCAAACATTTTGCCCTTTACAGGTCAATCCAGACCTTTAACATGACGGGGGCGTTCCAAGATTAGTCGTAGTTTAGTATATTGGATAAAACGCGCTCACTAAGTTATGCTGTCACTTTCAAACATGTAAGTTGAATAAAGTCGAATAACATTTGTTTAGATAAAACACCAGCTCAACCCAGGGCATTTCCCTTCTTTCATCCTGGTTGTAGTTTTACTCAATTTTCTTGGTTTATGTTCCATGTTTTATTGTCCCGTTGTTGTGGCTTTTCACTTGGCTGCTGGAATGACACAAATACTCGATCATGTCCGGACTAGGACGCAGTGGAATGCGCGCAAACATCTTGAATCATAGGCCAACATTTTTGCAGCTGTGCTGTCGGGGCTCAGGCTGAGTCAGTGAACGCACCGTGTCCCGGAGTACTAGTACAGTGCTGAGTGACAGTCCTGCTCCACGGTAGCTGCTCCACTCCGCTCCTGTGCGCACTACAGCGAGGACACCAGAACCGAGCCGCCCCGGGCAGGGCTGGTGTGGGAGCACAGTTCCACCGAGACGGCGTGCAGCAGCATGGCTTCTGTAATCTGTGATATGAGCTAAATGGGATTAACCCGCTGGCAGCATTAGTAGTAGTAATAGTAGTAGTGGAGACCAGGGGGAGCTCTGCACCGAGCTGCGCCGCATGTGCTCGCCCGTGTGCGCCTAGAAACCTCGCGCGGCTCCGTCTGTAGAATAAAACCAACCAAAAGAAGAAGGAAACGAACGACAGACGCAGCCGTGAACAAACCCTGGCTCGGGTTTGACCTCTGGGACCCACAGCAACAACAATCCGAACCGACCTCTGCCTCCCCTCTCACATGCCTGCGTTGATGTGGGAGACGGGGAGGGGAGCGGAGCTCGGGGATGTTTGAATCACCACGCTAAACCTGCAGAAATACTACGAGAGAAAGTAGAAGAAGTTGCGTTTGTTTAGTGGGAATTAAAGGAGGTCGCGGCTGTCATGGAGAGCCAAGCGGGCGAGCACCACAGCTCCGAGGACGTGCGGAAGA